GACTAAATATGCCACTAGCTGGAGAAACCTTTCCGGAAAAGAGATACCCAAATGCTGCATAAGTGTTTTATTTATCAACTTTATCAATGTTGTCGAGGCACCTCACTTGGTTCCACTTCGCGGACAGCGAAAATTTATCATGTATACAGCAAGACGGACAGCAGGCAGCACCTGCACTCTGGTTGTAGCCCTCTCAAGGAAACCACTTTATTTAAAATTATTTATTCTTACAATGATTTGTCTGGAACATGTTCGTACAGCATAACAACATTAATGACTAAATGAAATCGCTGGCCTACAGTTGGCTCCAACTGCAACTGCCCTCCGTCTCATCTGCGATTTCTTGACAGAGGAGAACAGAGCAAGACGACTCATCTCTCACCTGGATCCAGCCTGGATAGATCTGTCATTTCAGTAGAGCCTTCAACACAGGAGGGATGTGGGTGGCCTTACTGTTATGTACAAGGTCAACATTGTCAAAGTACCACACTTGGCTCCCCTTCGAGGACAGTGACAAGCGCGCTTCTACACCACAAGACGGGCAGGGAGCAGCAACTTTACTCCGACCGTACTCTTCTCCAGAATATAACTTCATACGAGATCATTTATTCCTAGGATGATTCGAGTTTGAACCATGATCGTACAGCATAATATCAGTTGATTAAATGAAATTGTTGGCCCACAGTTGGCTTCCACTTCATTCTGAGAGAGAGAGAGAGAGAGACAGAGACAGAGACAGAGACAGAGAGAGTGAACTTTATCTAAAAATCTGGGTGTTTAGCATAAGCTAGCAAGATTAATGATCACCGGAATTTAAACACTTCGACCAAAACAACAACAAAAGACTAGTGGGAATTTAGTTGCCCTAAAATACCACAGATAATTAGGACTTATAAATTCAGTACTGAATACTGAAATATTTCGTTTCTCGAGTGGTACTAACCATTCAGAAGACTAAAAATATACCCCAAAACTATCTTAAGACACTCCCACCATTCCCACGAGCCCTTCTAGGGCAGGGAAGGGGCCAGAACCAGAGCTTGCTACCACCTGCAGCTCACAAAACTGCCCTTTCCAAGAACTTCCCTGGGGCGGGGAAGATGGCAGACCAGAGGCCTAGCTTCTCCCTACGAGCCCCGTGAGGGCGGGGTCTGGAGTTAGTCCTGGGGACAGTTGGTCCCAAGAGATGAGGTTGTACTTGTACCTCCTCCTATGGCAGACATAGATCTCAGACACTACCAAGATAGAGAGCCAAGGCCGGGTTACCATCTGGAAGAGACCCAGGCCGGAAGGGTACCGGCGATTAAAAAAAAAAAGGTATCTGTGAAAGTGATAGCACCTGAGCAACATCTGGTGATATTACAAACTCCGCTGTTGATACTTGCATGTAATAGACTTTCTCGTAAATCTAAATAATCTTTACAAGTACCAGGAAACTGGAGTAACAGTCGGGATAGTATTGGTAGATGGGGCGGGTGTGGGTGTTTAGTACACGAGGACGCTGTCATTAGACTATTCAGCACTAGCTAACTCAACCAGAAGCCTACCAGGTGGAAATTCCCGAAGCTCAGTGACGACCCAGTCTTCAAAATCAGAAATCAAACATCAGGCTTAATAATGCTTGAATCCGTAAAACAGCTCAAGAGGTCTGATGTACAGTGAACAAGATACCGCCTCCTAGGTACCAGGGTATTAATTCAACGTACACTGGAGTTGGTAGTATATATATTTCAGGAAGAAAAAAATAACTGGATTAGCGGACCTGCTGGATGGAGAATGGCGTGATAGGCTAAACCATCGAACAATTAGTTTAATATAGAACTTAAATAATTTATGTAGCCTTTTTTTGGGCAAAATTTTGGGAGTTATGAGGAATATATGACCAAACAAGCAGCAATTCGATCTCCTGCAATCACTCAAACGCTACAGTTTTGGAGTCTTGTTCCTCATAAGGCTACAAAGAACACTGCAACAAATAAAAGATTAATTGAACTCTCTCTTTCTTTTGGTGTGAGACGAATTGTTCCAAGGTGACTAAACGCACAGCAAATACTATTGCAAAAATTTGTTCATCTCACGCATGACAGTTACACCCGCATCGGCAGTATATGACCAAGTTTGTAGATTATCCTAAGTAATGCTTTCAGATGATGCCTAATGTGAGAGTTGTATTAGATACCAATAGGTTCTAGACTCACTACTAAGTGTTCGTATATAAGACTCGGAACGAAACTAGGAATTTCAAAGACTGGTTACTTTCTAAGGAAAGTAGAAAGAAAAAGAGAACTGACGTCTGGAAGATTGGGCTCCAAAGTCAGTTAGTTCTTTGTGAATGAACGACAGAAATATTTACCTGAAGAAGCAATTCCATGTCTAAGCTGGAAGGACGAGACTCATGCAACTATAACTAAAGAAAAAAGTAACCTAGTGACCACTCATTCTTCTGCAAAGATGCAAGGTACATATTTAGATAAATAGCCTTAAGTGCTATCTGTAAGAACAGTCTTTTTTCACTGTAACAAGAGCACCTGGCAAACCTGAGAATAGCGTTCCGATACCTCAGCGAGAAATCGCTCAAGACTCTACACCGTGTACCTCAAGCTCATACTGGAGTATGCAGCACCACTTTGGAACCCACACCTGGACAAGCACGTCAAGAAATTAGAGAAAGCACAAAGGTTTGCAACAAGGGTAGTTCCAGAGCTAAGGGGAATGCCGACGAAGAAAGGTTAAGGGAAATCGGTCTGACGACACTGAAGGACAGGAAGGTCAGGGGAACCATGATAACGACATACAAAATACTGCGAGGAACTGACAAAGTGGACAGAAACAGGATGCTCCAGAGATGGGATACAGAAACAAGGGGTTACAATAAGAAACTGAAGACTCAGATGAGTCAAAGAGTGGTTAGGGAGTATTTCTTCAATCATAGAGTCGTCAGGAAGTGGTACAGTCTGGCAAGCGACGTAATGGAGACAGGAACCATACATAGTTTTAAGACGAGGTATGATAAATCTCATGCAGCAGGGAGAGAGAGTACCTAGCAGCGACCAGTGAAGAAGTAGGGCCAGGAGCTATGAATCGACCCCTGCAACCACAAATAAGTGAGTACAAGCAGGTGAGAGTAAAAGCCATGGAGCTGGAAGAGGTTAGTCCAGGATTACGACGTGGTTATGAAGACAAGTTACCACAACTTTTCACTTACCTTCAACAACTCTCCCTGCCACAGGTTACATGACCTGGCGGCATGAAGGAAAATACTGGACCAATTCGTAAAAATAAGAGTCAGTCAGCCGTAATAAACAAACCACTAGTAAAAAAAATGATAAAATTCAACAATTAATGCTATTGTTGTGTATAACTTACCATTATATGGTACATAATTCTTTCACAAATGTACCTCTGCATGTATTTTTTGAGCATCACTATGTAGCATCAGTCAATGGATAAATTCCAAGTCAGATATGATGTGGTAAGAGGCGTTAATGATGCCTATGATTAGGACCTTCACTACAACTTCTACTGGCAAATTTACAAGCCCTTGTAAACTATGATTAAATTTCATATCTCCTCGATCATTACTGCACGTTCAATATCGGACTGTTAATTTTCTCAATAGAAAAACGACAGAAATCCTACTAGCTTACCTAGGGGAAGTGAACCCCGAATTATTAAACCGAATTTTTACTTCAAATAACAAAACATCACACTTGCACATAAATCCTCCGCAGGTTATCGAGTTAGACTTTACCGACACGAAAGATCACATCCCCTATAATATAATGTTTATTCACAACTTTGAGGAAATATCTGCCTGTGGCAAGTTATTAATGGTTAAACCTGCTACTTATACAACACAGATGATCATTATCCCTTGACAGTATTGTGTACCGCCTAGATTTCTGTGAGAATATGTAGGTGAATATCAATAACAACACTGCGCTAACCAAGGATCCGAACCCATGTTGTACTGGCCGGCCATTGTGAGCGAGAACCAGATGACGCCTTAACCCACAGGACCACCCAATCCTAAAAGAACCAAGCACACAGCTAAGTTAGGTGTTTTACCTTGGTCCGAAGACATACGGACCAAGGTAAAACACCTAACTCTGCTGTGTGTTTGGCTCTTGTAGGATTGGGTGGTCCTGTGGGTTAAGGCGTCATGTGGTTCTCACTCACAGTGGTGGGTCAGTACATCACGGGTTCGGATCCTTGGCTAGCGCAGTGTTGTTATTGATCAATACCACTCGTTCGTGGCTACAATAATTGGTGAATATAGAGAATACGTATGTAATAAACCTTGCAAACAAAGTAGATTATTAAAAAATATACAAAATTAAGGTGCATCCAATAGATGCTTCATAGGAATGTACGTATACGTCTTACTTAGTTGTGAGAGTGGCAGCTCTTCACACCGAGGACCAGTGATCAAAAATCACCGGACGGAAAAGTATACAAGTTAGAGCACAGTGTACAGCAAAACCTCTCTAGTCTCGTCTAGTTTCACATGGATGGAACTAATTTTCCCCAGATCTTTCCAAACTTCAGAGATTTCTACCCCCTTACAGTTTAGTTCTTAGCCACAGTTCTCATGAATCTTCACCAGGCCTGTCTGTGATCAAGAAGTTGTAAACTACTTTACCACTAAGTAGACAATTTCAACACATTCACTCTGGTTCAGTCTCTCCAGGAGGTTCCTCCAGGAGCCATCGTGTAACTTTCGCCAGACTCATATGTTTTCCTTGATAAATTAATAAAGCTCCCTTATGTAATGGGAAGAACTTACGGCTCTTCGTTAACTCTCACATAAACATGGAATCCAGAACAGCATCAAGCTAAAAATTAGTGAAGTTAATTTCACCCATCTGAACTCTTTTACAGTGGATAAATTAGCATTATGTTTTCAACCATGTAAACTAACATGGTAAATATCGTCATTCTTGTTGAAACTCTGTACGATGAAGGCTCAAACGTATGAAAAGAATTAAACAGATGAGGAATTAGAGGTAGTGAAGAAAGCAAGGATAAAGGGAATGGTGCGTGCTGTGCCAGCCACGGTCCACCAACATAGCGCAGCCTCCACTACCTGAGACTACCTGGCAAGGCGGACCGCTGGCAGCGGGTGCGGTCCTACACGCACTGTTGTCTGCTGCTGCTGAGGCTGTGAGGCCACCTGCTGCTGCTGCTGTGGAGCCACCTGCTGCTGCACGTGGTGCTGTTGTGGTGGCATTTGCGGGTGTTGGTAATGTTGTCGTTGCTGTACTGGTGATGAGGCGTCATTACTCTCCGTACTGGAGTCACGTCGGGTCGCCTCTTTTATTAACAATAAAACATATAATTAAATATTAATCCTTACCATTTTTATAAATTACTCCTCCAAAATTATATTTGGTTTCATGGTATAATCAGAAAAATAAGATGAAATATAAAAAATATTATTCATTCTCATTCATCAGAGACAAATTAACTTTGAGAATTTTAATAAATTTCTTAAGATCTCATAACTTTTCGCATTGCTTTAAAGAGAGAGAGAGAGAGAGAGAGAGAGGGAGGGAGAGGGAGAGGGAGAGAGAGAGAGAGAGAGGGAGAGAGAGGGAGAGAGACAGTGGGAGAGAGAGAGGGAGAAAAAGAGAGAGAGGGAGGGAGAGAGAGGGAGAGAGAGGGAGAGAGAGGGAGAGGGTGGGAGAGAGAGGGAGAGAGAGAGGGAGAAAAGAGAAAGGGAGAGAGACAGTGGGAGAGAGAGAGGGAGAAAAATGAGAGGAGAGGGAGGGAGAAGAGAGGGAGAGAGAGAGGGAGAGAGACAGTGGGAGAGAGAGAGGGAGAAAAAGAGAGAGAGGGAGGGAGAGAGAGGGAGAGAGAGGGAGAGAGAGGGAGAGAGAGAGAGGGAGAGAGACAGTGGGAGAGAGAGAGGGAGAAAAAGAGAGAGAGGGAGGGAGAGAGAGGGAAGAGAGAGGGAGAGGGAGAGGGAGGAGAGAGAGAGGAGGAGAGAGACAGTGGGAGAAGAGAGGGAGAAAAAGAGAGAGAGGGAGGGAGAGAGAGGGAGAGAGAGGGAGAGAGAGAGAGGGAGAGAGAAGTGGGAGAGGAGAGAGGGAGGAAAAGAAAGAGAGAGGAGTGGGGGAGGAGAGGAGGGAGAGAGAGAGGGAGGAGAGAGAGAGAGGGGAGAGAGAGAGAGGGAGAGAGGAAAAGTGGGAGAGAGAGAGGGAGAAAAGAGAGAGAGGGAGGGAGAGAGGGAGAGAGAGGGAGAGGGAGGGAGGAGAGACAGTGGGAGAGAGAGAGGGAGAAAAAGAGAGAGAGGGAGGGAGAGAGAGGGAGAGAGAGGAGAGAGGAGAGGGAGAGAGAGAGAGAGGAGAGAGAGAGAGAGGGAGAGAGAGAGAGGGAGAGAGAGGGAGAGGGAGGGAGAGAGAGACAGTGGGAGAGAGAGAGGGAGAAAAGAGAGAGAGGGAGGGAGAGAGAGGGAGAGAGAGAGAGACGGAGAGGGAGAGAGAGAGAGAGAGAGAGAGAGAAGAGGTGGAGGAGAGAGAGAGAGAGGAGAGAGGGGAGAGAGAGAGAGGGAGAGAGAGGGGAGAGAGGGGAGAGAGAGGGAGAGAGACAGTGGGGAGGAGAGGGGGGAAAAAGAGAGAGAGGGAGACAGTGGGAGAGAGAGAGGGAGAAAAAGAGAGAGAGGGAGGGAGAGAGAGGGAGATAGAGAGAGAGGGGAGAGGAGAGAGAGAGAGAGAGGGAGAGGAGGGAGAGGAGAGAGAGAGGGAGAGGAGAGAGAGAGTGGAGAGAGAGAGAGGGAGAGAGAGAGAGAGAGAGAGAGGAGAGGAGGGAGGGAGGAGAGAGGGAGAGAGAAAGAGGGAGAGAGAGAGAGGGAGAGAGAAAGAGGGAGAGAGAGAGAGGGAGAGAGAGAGAGGGAGAGAGAGGGAGAGAGAGAGAGAGGGAGAGAGAGGGGAGAGAGACAGTGGGAGAGAGGGAGAAAAAGAGAGAGAGGGATGAGAGAGAGAGAAAGAGAGAGAGAGGGAGAGAGAGAGAGAGAGAGAGGGAGTGTGAGAGTGTGTGAGTGTGAAAGTGAGAGCGAGAGTGAGTGTGCGTGTGATGTGCGTGTGCGTGTGTGAGTGTGAAAGTGAGAGCGAGAGCGAGTGTGCGTGTGCGTGCGTGTGCGAGTGTGTGTGTGTGTGTGTGTGTGTGTGTGTGTGTGTGTGTGTGTGTGTGTGTGGTGTGTGTGTGTGTGTGTGTGTGTGTGTTTTATGTGTGCGCGCGCGCACTCACCTAATTGTACTCACCTAATTGTGGTTGCATGGGTCGAGACTCAGCTCCTGGCCCCGCCTCTTCACTGATCGCTACTAGGTCCTCTCTCTCTCTCTGCTTCCAGAGCTTTGTCATACCTCGTCTTAAAGCTATTTGTGTGTGTGTGTACTCGTCTATATACTCACCTATATGTAGTTGCAGGGGTCGAATCATAACTCCTGGCCCCGCCTCTTCACTGGTCAATACTAATTCACTCTCCCTACTTTATGAGCTTTATCATACCTCTTCTTAAAACTATGTATGGAACTTGCTTCCACTACTTCACTCTGATTATTCCACTTTCTGACAACTCTAAGCCAACAGAAATGCTTCCTAACCTTTCTCCAGGTAAACATACCTATGACTCATCTGGGTTTTCAGCTTCCAATTGTGTCCCCTTGTTCCTGTACCCCATCTCTGAAACATTGGAGCCCTGTCCACCTTGTCAATTCCTCTCAGAATTTTATGCATTGTTATCATGTCCCCCTTATTCCTCCTATCCTCTAATGTCATCAGGTTGAGTTCCCTTAACCTCTCCTCATAAGACATACCTCTCAGTTCTGGGACTAATCGTGTTGCAAATTTTTGCACTTTCTCCAATTTCGTGACGATTTTGACTAGGTGCAGGTTCCATACTGGTGATGCATACTCCAGTATAGACCTGACATACACTGTGTACAATGTCGTGAATGACTCCTTATTCAGATGTCTAAATGCTAATCTCAGGTTTGCCAATCGCCCATATGCTGCAGCTGTTATTTGATTGATGTGTGCCTCAGGGGACATGTTCGTTATAATGCTTACCCCAAGATCCTTTTCTTTAATTGACGTTTGCAGCCTTTGATTTCTTAACTTGTCGCCGTCTATGGTCTTCCGTGTCCTTCCCCAATCTTCTTTACTTTACATTTATTGGGCTTAAACTCCGCGGGTCATTTGACGGCCCAGACTTGTTTTCCAAATCCTTGTGTAATCTTAATTTATCTTCGCCTGCTTGTATTCTCATCAGTTTCACATTATCAGCGAGCAGTGACACTTCTGAATCTATTCCTTCCACCATGTCATTCACGTATACAAGAAACAGCACCGGGCCTAGGACTGACCCTTGTGGAACCCTACTCGACACATGCACCCACTTTGACACTTCATCACGTACCAACACTCGTTGTTTCTTTCCTGTCAGGTATTCCCTGATCCACTGCAGTACTTTCCCGTTTATTTCTGCCTGCTCCTCTAATTTTTGCACCAATCTCTTGTGTGGTACTGTGTCAAAAGCCTTCTTGCAGTCCAAAAGATGCAATCTACCCATCCCTCTCTCTCCTGTTTTACTTCTGTTACCTTATCGTAGAACTCAAGTAGATTTGTAACACAGGATTTTCCATATCTGAAGCTGTGCTGATTGTCATGTATGAGCCCAATCTTTTCATACATACTATACAAGTCAGTGGCACTGGTCTGTAGTTTAAACGCTGCCAGCGTCTCCGTGTGTGTGTGTGTGCTCACCTAGTTGTACTCACCTAGTTGAGTTTGCAGGGGTCGATTCAAAGCTCCTGCCCCCCCCCTCTTCACTGGTCGCTACTAGGTCACTCTCCCTGAACCGTGAGCTTTATCATACCTCTGCTTAAAGCTATTTATGGATCCTGCCTCCACTACATCGCTTCCCAAACTATTCCACTTCCAGACTACTCTGTGCCTGAAGAAATACTTCCTACCATCCCTGTGATTCATCTGTGTCTTCAACTTCCAACTGTGTCCCCTTGTTGCTGTGTCCCATCTCTGGAATATCCTGTCTTTGTGTGTGTGTGTGTGTGTGTGTACTCACCTCACCTAGTTGAGGTTGCGGGGGTCGAGTCCGAGCTCCTGGCCCCGCCTCTTCACTGATCGCTACTAGGTCACTCTCCCTGAGCCGTGAGCTTTATCATACCTCTGCTTAAAGCTATGTATGGATCCTGCCTCTACTACATCGCTTCCCAAACTATTCCACTTACTGACTACTCTGTGGCTGAAGAAATACTTCCTAACATCCCTGTGATTCATCTGTGTCTTCAGCTTCCAACTGTGTCCCCTTGTTACTGTGTCCAATCTCTGGAACATCCTGTCTTTGTCCACCTTGTCAATTCCTCTCAGTATTTTGTATGTCGTTATCATGTCCCCCCTATCTCTCCTGTCCTCCAGTGTCGTCAGGTTGATTTCCCTTAACCTCTCCTCGTAGGACATACCTCTTAGCTCTGGGACTAGTCTTGTTGCAAACCTTTGCACTTTCTCTAGTTTCTTCACGTGCTTGGCTAGGTGTGGGTTCCAAACTGGTGCCGCATACTCCAATATGGGCCTAACGTACACGGTGTACAGGGTCCTGAATGATTCCTTATTAAGATGTCGGAATGCTGTTCTGAGGTTTGCTAGGCGCCCATATGCTGCAGCAGTTATTTGGTTGATGTGCGCTTCAGGAGATGTGCCTGGTGTTATACTCACCCCAAGATCTTTTTCCTTGAGTGAGGTTTGTAGTCTCTGACCCCCTAGACTGTACTCCGTCTGCGGCCTTCTTTGCCCTTCCCCAATCTTCATGACTTTGCACTTGGTGGGATTGAACTCCAGGAGCCAATTGCTGGACCAGGTCTGCAGCCTGTCCAGATCCCTTTGTAGTTCTGCCTGGTCTTCGATCGAGTGAATTCTTCTCATCAACTTCACGTCATCTGCAAACAGGGACACCTCAGAGTCTATTCCTTCCGTCATGTCGTTCACAAATACCTGAAACAGCACTGGTCCTAGGACTGACCCTGCGGGACCCCGCTGGTCACAGGTGCCCACTCTGACACCTCGCCACGTACCATGACTCGCTGCTGTTCTTTCCTGACAAGTATTCCCTGATCCATTGTAGTGCCTTCCCTGTTATCCCTGCTTGGTCCTCCAGTTTTTGCACCAATCTCTTGTGTGGAACTGTGTCAAACGCCTTCTTGCAGTCCAAGAAAATGCAATCCACCCACCCCTCTCTCTCTTGTCTTACTGCTGTCACCATGTCATAGAACTCCAGTAGGTTTGTGACACAGGATTTCCCGTCCCTGAAACCATGTTGGCTGCTGTTGATGAGATCATTCCTTTCTAGGTGTTCCACCACTCTTCTCCTGATAATCTTCTCCATGATTTTGCATACTATACATGTCAGTGACATGGTCTGTAGTTTAATGCTTCATGTCTGTCTCCTTTTTTAAAGATTGGGACTACATTTGCTGTCTTCCATGCCTCAGGCAATCTCCCTGTTTCGATAGATGTATTGAATATTGTTGTTAGGGGTACACATAGCGCCTCTGCTCCCTCTCTCAATACCCATGGGGAGATGTTATCTGGCCCCATTGCCTTTGAGGTATCTAGCTCACTCAGAAGCCTCTTCACTTCTTCCTCGGTTGTGTGCACTGTGTCCAGCACTTGGTGGTGTGCCCCACCTCTCCGTCTTTCTGGAGCCCCTTCTGTCTCCTCTGTGAACACTTCTTTGAATCTCTTGTTGAGTTCTTCACATACTTCACGGTCATTTCTTGTTGTCTCTCCTCCTTCCTTCCTTAGCCTGATTACCTGGTCCTTGACTGTTGTTTTCCTCCTGATGTGGCTGTACAACAGTTTCGGGTCAGATTTGGTTTTCGCTGCTATGTCATTTTCATATTGTCTTTGGGCCTCCCTTCTTATCTGTGCATATTCGTTTCTGGTTCTACGACTGTTCTCCTTATTCTCCTGGGTCCTTTGCCTTCTATATTTCTTCCATTCCCTAGCACACTTGGTTTTTGCCTCCTGCACCTTTGGGTAAACCATGGGCTCATCCTGGCTTTTTCATTAATCCTGTTACCCTTGGGTACAAACCTCTCCTCAGCCTCCTTGCATTTTGTTGTTACATATTCCATCATCTCATTAACTGGCTTCCCTGCCAGTTCTCTGTCCCACTGAACCCGTTCAGGTAGTTCCTCATTCCTGTGTAGTCCCCTTTCTTGTAGTTTGGCTTCATTCGTCCTGGCCCTCCTGCTTCTCCCTCCACTTGTAGCTCTACTGTGTATTCGAAGCTTAAAACCACATGGTCACTGGCCCCAAGGGGTCTTTCATATGTGATGTCCTCGATATCTGCACTACTCAAGGTGAATACTAAGTCCAGCCTTGCTGGTTCATCCTCTCCTCTCTCTCTTGTAGTGTCCCTTACGTGTTGGCACATGAAGTTTTCCAGTACCACCTCCATCATCTTAGCCCTCCATGTATCTTGGCCCCCATGTGGGTCCAAGTTCTCCCAATCGATCTCCTTGTGGTTAAAGTCACCCATGATCAGGAGCTTTGCCCTGCATGCATGAGCTCTTCTGGCCACTCTAGCCAGTGTGTGTGTGTGTGTGTGTGTGTGTGTGTGTGTGTGTGTGTGTGTGTGTGTGTGTGTGTGTGTGTGTGTGTGTGTGTGTGTGTGTATGTGTGTGTGTGTGTGTGCGTGTGCGTGTGCGTGTGTGTGTATGTGTGTGTGTGTGTGTGTGTGAGTGTGTGTGTGTGTGTGTGTGAGTGTGTGTGCGTGGAGGGGGGTGTTTGTGTGTGCTTGTGTGTTTACTCACCTGTTTGTGGTTGTAGGGGTCGATTCATAGCTCCTGGCCCCACCTCTTCACTGATTGCTATTAAGTCCTCTCTCTCCCTGCTCCATGAGCTTTATCAAACCTCGTCTTAAAACTATGTATGGTTCCTGCCTCCATTACGTCACTTGCTAGACTATTCCACTTCCTGACAACTCTATGACTGAAGAAATACTTCCTAACATCCCTTTGACTCATAGAGTCTTCTACTTCCAACAACTGTGGCCCCTTGTTCCTGTGTCCCATCTCTGGAACATCCTGTCTTTGTCCACCTTGTCAATTCCTAGTAGTATTTTATATGTCGTTATCATGTCTCCCTTGACCCTTTTGTCCTCCAGTGTCGTCAGGCCCATTTCCCTTAACCTTTCTTCAAGGGACAATCCCCTTAGCTCTGGGACTAGTCTTGTTGCATACCTTTGCACTTTCTCTAATTTCTTGAAGTGCACGACCAGGTGTGGGTTCCAAACTGGTGCTGCATTCTCCAATATGGGCCTGACATATATGGTGTACAGAGTCTTGAGCGATTTCTTACTGTGGTATCGGAACGCTGTTCTCAGGTTTGCCAGACGCCCATATGCTGCAGCAGTTATCTGACTGATGTGCGCCTCAGGAGATGTGCTTGGTATTATACTGACCACAAGATCTTCAATGAGTGAAGTTTGCAGTCTTTGGCCTCCTAGACTATACTCTGTCTGCGGTCTTCTTTGCCCTTCCCCGATCTTCATGACTTTGCATTTGGCGGGGTTAAATTCAAGGAGCCAGTTGCTGGACCAGGCTTGTAGCCTGCCCAGGTCTCTCTGTAATCCTGCCTGATCCTCGACCGATTTAATTCTTCTCATTAACTTCACATCATCTGCAAACAGGGACACTTCTGAGTCTATCCCTTCCGTTATGTCATTCACATATACCAAAAACAGCACATGTCCTAGGACTGACCCTTGTGGAACCCCACTCGTCACAGGCGCCCACTGTGACACCTCGACACGTACTATAACCTCCATGTCAGATATTCCCTGATCCATTATGTATGTTTGTGTGTGTATGTACTCGGGTAATTGTACTCACCTAATTGTGATTGCAGGGGTTGAGTCATAGCTCCTGGTCCCGCCTCTTCACTGGTCGCCATTAGGTCCACTCTCTCCCTGCTCTATGAGCTTTACCATACCTCTTCTTAAAGGTATGTATGGTACCCGCCCACACTACCTCACTTTTCAGACTATTCCACTTGACAATTCTATGACTGAAGAAATACTTCCTAATATCCCTGTGACTCATCTGTGTTTTCAACTGCTAACTGTGACATGTTGCTGTGTCTCATCTCTCGAACATCCTGTCTGTCCACCTCGTCGATTCTCGGTACTCTATATGTAGTTATGTCCCTCCCTGTCCCTTCTGTCCTTCAGTGTCATCTGGCCGAGTTCCTTAACCTCTCCACGCAGGACATGCCCCCTTAGCTCCGGGATTAGTCTCGTTGCAAATCTTTGCACTTTCTCTAATTTCCTGACCTGTTTCGCCAAGTGTGGGTTCCACACTGGAGCTGCATACTCCAATATGAGCCTGACGTGCACGGTGTACATGATCCAGAACGACTTCTTACTGAGATATCGGAATGCTATTTTTAGGTTCGCTAGTCGCCCATATTTTGCATGAGTTATTTAGTTGATGTGCTCTGTATTATACACACTCCAAGATCCTTTTCCTTGAGTGAGGTTTGTAGTCTTTGGCCCTCTACGCTGTACTCTGTTTTCTTTGCCCTTCCACGATCTTCATGACTTTGCATTTGGTGGAATTGAACATCAGGAGCCAGTTGCTGGACAAGGGCGGCAGCCTGTCCAGATCCCTCTGTAGTAATGCTTTATTTTCCTGCAACTGAATTCTCCTCATTTAATTTCACATCGTCTATTCCTTCCGTCATATCATTCACATATACCAGAAACAGCACCAGTCCTAGGACTGACCTCTGTGGAACCCCACTTGTCACAGGCGCCCACTCTGACACCTCATCAAGTTCAATGACTCACTGATGCCTTCCCATCAGGCATTCTCTGATCCAATGCAGTGCCTTCCCTGTCATACCTGTCTAGCCCTCCAGCTTTTGCACTTATCTGTTGTGTGGGACTGTGTCGATAGCCTTCTTACAGTCCAAGAAGACGCAATCTACCCACCCTTCTTTCTCTTGTCTTACTGCTGTCACCTTGTCATGTGACACAGGATTTTCCGTCTCTGAATGTGTGCTGGTTGTCGTATATAAGCTCGTGTGTGTGTGTGTGTGTGTGTGTGTGTGTGTGTGTGTGTGTTTCTGCGTGTGCGTGCATGTCTGTACTCACATATACGTACTCACCTATATGTGGCTGCAGGGGTCGAGGTACATCTTCTGGCCCAGGCTATTCGGTGTTCGCTACTACGCCTACTCTCTCCCTGCTCCAAAGCTATGTATGGATCCTGCCTCCACTACTTCACTTCAGATTTTCCACTTCCTGACAATTCTAAGCTGAAGAAATAGTTCCTAATATCCCCATGACTCATCAAACTTTTCAACTTCGCATTGTGTTCCCTTGTTCCTCTGTCCTATCTGATACAATCTGGCCCTGTCCAACTAGTCGATTCCTCTCGGTAATATATACGTCGTTATCATATCCCCCTTATTCCTCCTGTAATACAGTGTCATCAGGTTGAGTTCCCCTAACCTCTCCTCATAGGACATTCCCACTTAGCTCCGGGACTAGTCTTGTCACAATTTTTTGCACTGTCTCTAATTTCTTGACGTGTTTGACTAGGCGTTGGTTCCACACTGGTGCTTTATACTCAAACATGGACCAGACGTACACGGTGCACAGTGCCATAAATAACCCCTTAGATGACGAAACGCTGTTCTTAAATTTGCCAGGTGCCGATATCCCGCAGCAGGTGTGCGCGTGTTTGTGTATGTGACATAATGGCATCATATTCCCTGATATGTTTAATTAAGGACATCTTTCTGAGAATTATTCTAATGTTTTTTCTTTCTTGCTCACCTCTTGTACGGCTTCTAGAACGAGGGGGCCGATTCCTCGTGTCACTCAAAGAATCTTCGTCCCACTTTCTCTGATCTACTGTGCCTACAGTAGGTAGTGAAGTAGGTGCAGGAGGCTGGGCTCCAGGGATGGACTTAGGGCGGCTACTATATTCGTTACGGTTCCTATTGCTGATATAGGAAATCTCTGAAAGAAATCGAATAAACATATAAATATATATATATTCCTATACCAATGTTAAATCTAAAGATATAAACATACTTTAGCTATTTAAAGTATTATCGCAGTTGTTGATATTATTGTGATTTATAGTTCGTTAAATATTGTTCAGCTAGGATAGGTTAAATTAATCTACTCAAGTTTAACCTAACATTATTTAACCTATGCTAAGATAAACAAAACTAAGCTCATCTAAGTAAATTTAATCTAACCTAACCTAGCACAACCTAGCTTCCATAACATACGCAGGGACTCACAAAGTCGAAATAACACGATTACAAACATTTTACAGAAGTGGCGGGACTTGAACTCTTGGCAGGAGAGGTTCAGGATTCACCTGTCATGGGTTTAAACCTTACCTGTTATGTGTTTTATTTCCAGAAAAAAATTCTAATCCAATAATGAAAAAAAAAATTCTACGCAGGAGTAAGAACAGTTTTGCTTTATTAGTGTCTGTGTACATCTTGGTCAGTAGAGTAGGAGGTAGTATAAACCTTGGTAACTGATACCGGCAATATGTCCTAGTATCTCTTTTAAACCAATGAAGGACGTCATTGGTGTTGAAAATTCAAGATAGTTTTGGTTTAAAGTTGACTATGCTGGAGGCAAACGATAGTCTCCGTCTCTATGACTCACGAAATCGTAATGACACGATTGTAGGTGCCTATGCTAACCTTCCTTAGGTGTTTTATCGTACATATGTGTGCCGTGAAGGTTCTCTGTATATTCTCAGGTCAGCAATATCTGCCTTGAAAGGCGCCATTAGTGTGCAGAAATATTCCAGGCTAGATTGAACAAGCTATTTGAAAAGAATCATGGGCTTTGCGTCCCTAGTTTTGAGGGTTGTCATCAATCTCATCATTTTTCTAGCATATGTGGGGGATACATTGTTGTGAGAGTGAGATCCACTAACATAATCACTCCCAGGTCCTTCACATTAATTTTTCTCTCTATTGCATGGTTGGAATTAGTTTTCTACACCGATACAGATTTAATTTCAAGTTTTCTTTATTGTAATAATTGAAATTTCTCTTCACTGAACTTCATATTGTTTTCTGAGGCCCAGTTAAAGATCTGGTTGATGTCCACTTGGACTCTTGCAGTATCTCCGATGGTGGACACTGTCATGCAAGCTCGGGAATCATCCGCAAATGAAGACAGTGCTGTGGCTTACATATCTGTCTATGTCAGATACAAGAATGAGGGACAAGATGGGAGCGAGTACTGTGCTTTGTGGAACAGAGCTTTTTACTTTGGCTGCTTCAGACTTTGCTCTGTTTACTATTACTCTGTGTTCTACTTGTTAGAAAGCTATAGATCTATATACCAACTTTTCCCGTTTTTTATTTTTCACGCATTTTGTGCGGTAATACACCATGGTAGCACTTGTTGTAGGCTTGTAAGCTTTCTCTGTCTGTGTATACATTTGCATTTTGCTTGTCCTCTAGAGCATCCAAGACCTTGTCATAGTGATCCAGTAGTTGGAACAGGCAGGAGTGGCTTGCTCTAAGCCCATGTTGCCCTGGGTTGTGTAACTGATGTGTGGTGATTTTGCTTCTTAGAACCCTTTAAGATTTTTAACACTCTTGGTCTGTAATTCTTTGCTATTGCTTTACTGCCCTCTTTGTGGAGTGGGGCTACATCTGTTGTTTTAAGTGACTGTGAGATGACCTCCCTGTCCATGCTTCATCTCCATAGAATGATAAAGGTATGTGACAGGGGCTTCTTGCAGTTTTTTACGAACACTGAGTTCCAAGAATCTGGGCCTGGGGCAGAGTGTATGGGCATGTCATTTATTGCCTCTTCGAAGTCATGGTGTTAGTATAATATGAGAGATGTTTGAATTGACCAAGTTCTGAGTCTCGGTCATATAAAAATTATTTGTTGTCGACTCTAATTATGGTTAACAGTTCACTAAACTCCTTTAGTATCTTACTCATTTCCTTGCTGTCATCTGTGTAGGTTCCATTTCGTTTTAGCAGAGGTCCAATACTGGATGTTGCTTTTGCTTCAGATTTGGCATTAGAAAATAAATACTTTGGGTTTCGTTCAATTTAATTTATGGCTTATAGTTCGTACTGAGTTTCATGTCTCCTGTGTGATTCCTTAAGTTTAAGTTCGATATTTGCTATTTCTCTACCCAGTGCCTCCCATTGTATTTCTGATATACTGGCCCCTCTTGGCAGCTCTGCGATTCTTCGCCTACACCTGTATAGGGAGCGCCTCTCTCTTTCTAGTTTACATCTTCTCTTCCTTTTTCTTAAGGAATACACCTTGAGGATACCTCAAGTTCCACAGAGTTAATTCTTTCTAGGCAGAGGTTACGATCCATGTTGTTTAGGATATATTCCCAGCTTTTCTCATTTAGGACATGGTTGACACATCCAGAAAGAGACACTGCTAGAGACATCAAGAGACATCAAGAAAGACACATCAAGAAAGGCACACATCAAGAAAGGCACACTCCAAGACACACTCTAAGGCACACTCCAAGGAACTCATCAAGAAAGGCACTCTTCAAGAAAGGCACTCATCAAGAAAGGCACTCATCAAGAAAGGCACTTATCTAGAAAGGAACTCATCAAGACATTCATAATATATACAAACTATACTTCAGTTTTCTAGGATCTTCCTTCCGTTATAATATTTTGCTTTATTTTCCGGCAATTCCTTGTTATGTATTTTAACACTTTCCATTAGACAGTGTTCAGAAATTCTCTTGTTTGCACGTATAAGAATATTTATAACCCTAAGATGCATAAATATACCTAGTTGGGTGAATCTTATTGTAACTAGCTGGCCCAGTGGCTAAGGCGTCGTTTTATGACTCTCTGATCGTGGGTTGTAACCCCGCCCGTGATATGGTTTAACTTACCAGTGTCTTAAAGATCAGTTTATTGTACATCAATACATTACCGAAAAATAACATGGCTAGTTTGCTGTTTTACTTGCCTGTTTCTTTATAGTTAGACTGAGATCGTTGACGTGCAAGATGGCCGTATGCTGGAGAGTGCTGTGAGTGCGGGTCACTCTGGAGTGGATGTTCCAGACAATCCCGGGGGTTCATGGTGTGTAGGGATAGACCGTACTCCAAGGTTCCCTCAGAACTTCCTACACTGAATACAAAAGCATATTTATATAATATTAACTATACAATAAACTGAATAAAAGGTTTAATGTGCACAAAACTAAAACCTAAACTCAATTTTGGTATTTACAAAATATAACACTTATGTCATTGAATTCATTTTTTAAATATTCTACTTGATGCTTGAATGTTAAAATACAAGGATGTTGAAACAACTGTACCTGAATGTGGCATAAGGACAGATTTCATAAGGATCTGACATTTCTTCTTGTGTTTTGAGAGAAGCTAAAGATCCTCTTGGTTTTTTAGTGGGTGTAGGAGAGTACAGGTGAGCACGAGTAATCTCAGTGTTGCGTGCGTTGTCTTCCTCTACACCACTCTTGTTGTCTACACTCTCACCCTGCCTAGTGACCACACCCGAATATATATGTCGTGCCGAATAGGTAAAGTTGGTTAGGAAGAACTCGTTTAAAATTAAGTCCTTTCTAAAATTTTATCTTACACGTTTTTTTCAATGTTAATTTGAAAATTAATGATTTTGTACCAAAAGCACCTTAGAAAACGTACCTATCCATATTATAACAAGCTCAATTTATCTTTGCCTAATCCAGCTAAATATTTTTTAAATAAGTTTATAATAATTTAATAAACAAACAAAATGAAACATTTTTTTTCGTTAGGTTCAGAATGATTTTTGCGAAATTATTGCATACACAAATTTTTCCTTGCCTTATTCGGCAAGAAGACCGTTGCTATATATATATATATATATATATATATATATATATATATATATATATATATATATATATATATATATATATATATATATATATATATATGTCGTGCCGAATAGGCAGAACTTGCGATCTTGGCTTAAATAGCAACGCTCATCTTGCCATATAGGACAAGTGAAAATTTGTGTATGCAATAATTTCGCCAAAATCATTGTGAACCTAACGAAAAAAATATATTTGATTGTGTTTGTTTAGTACTAAATTATTGTAAACGTATTTAAAATACATTTAGTTGGGTTAGGCTAAAATAAGTTGTTCTTGTTATAATAAGGTTAGGTAAGTTTTCTAAGATTCTTTTAGTGCAAATTTAAATTTTTTTATATTAACATTAATGAAAAAAAATATATCTTTAAACGTATAAGAGAAAATTTCAGAAAGGACTTAATTTTAAATGACTTCTTGCTAATTAACCAGTTTTACATATTCGGCACGACATATATATATTATATATATACATACATATATATATATATATATATATTATATATATATATATATATATATATATATATATATATATATATATATATATATATATATACAACACCTGCAGCCTCCCACTCAGGCAGGGTGTCCCGAAAAAGGAGAAACTATAAACAATTCTTTTAACATTTAGCAATATATATCGGAGACGGGGTCACTAGCCACTTTCCTTCCGGCATTTTAGTTGCCTCTTACTACATGCATGACTTACGAGTGAAGGATTCTTTTCAACTCTCCCATTGAAATGAAACAAACAAGAACAAGAACTATTAAGAAATTAGAAGAAAACTCAGATAAGTGTATAAATATACATGTACACGCCTGTGTATTGTGACGTAAGTGTGAGAATAAGTAGCAAGATGGACCTGTTATCTTTCATGTTTGACACAGAAAAAAGCCAACAATCCACCATCTTGTAAAACAATTGCAAGTTTCTTATTCACATTCATTTGGCAGGACGGTTGTAAATCAGAGTGATTACTGTGTACTAATTTTCTACTTAATTATTTAGCGGTGTGTCAAATTATCGGGATCGACTGTCTATGGTATCGATTAAAACCCAGTAGATACTTATTATGTTTGCTTAAATATATCAACATTAGCACTCTACCTCACGATTGTGAGAGTGTAAATAACCTACAAATGTTTACAAATGGTCTTTAGGGACATGTTATACATACGTAATAAAACATTAAACTAATTTAACATGAGATTATATTGGAAAAATAACCCACGAAGCCTGATACAATTCAGAAATGTTAAATTTTAATCGGAAGAAAGAGCTAAACCGTTAGGGTCATACAGTGGCTGTAGAACAGAAGAAATTGAAATTCGATTCAACCAAAGGAAAGACGAGTCCGGTTCCTTGGATCAAGAGTCAATCACCAGCATCAAGAGGGAGAAAATAATGCAATAACACTGAACTGTTTCGAGATCAGAGGAAACTGTCTCCAGTAATACTAATGAAACATATGGGAATGTCCTATGGTGGCACCGGAGCCTCACGCATGAACATACTCACTAATCAAGCGTTGAAATCTTGAAGACGAATGAATAAGATTTCGAAAACCAGGAAAATTTTCCAGTCTTCAATTTACAAATTTCAGTAAAATCGTGGATTTTTATTTTTCCTGTTTGCTTTCTGCGATTACATTATATTTCTTATAATACTGTAAAACACGAATTTTAATCAGAGTTTCTTGGACAAATTGGTACCCACACAGATTACAGAAAATCTCCATATTATGATTTACCAGCATAAATAACCCGCACATAAAAGACAGAAGCTTACGACGACGCCTCGGTCCGACTTGGACCATTGACAAAGTCAATGGTCCAAGTCGGACCGAAACGTCGTCGTAAGCTTCTGTCTTTTATGTGCGGGTTATTTGTGTATCGTTCCAGTCACGGTATTGTGCCTTTTTGTTATTTACCAGCATTTACGGTTTCAAGCTGATCGGAAGAGGCATTATTGTCATATATTTGCCTAGATCTGGTTTTATGATTGTGATTGCGTGAATACTAGCGTGTTTGATTTGAATGATGTTTTTCTTGTGTTTTGGAAAAAATCTGGAAGCAGATGCTTGTGATGTGCTGTTGTTACCTGGAGGGTGGAGTGTACCTGGAGGGTGGAGTGTACCTGGAGGGTGGAGTGCACCTGGAGGGTGGAGTGTACCTGGAGGGTGGAGTGTACCTGGAGGGTGGAGTGTACCTGGAGGGTGGAGTGTACCTGGAGGGTGGAGTGTACCTGGAGGGTGGAGTGTACCTGGAGGGTGGAGTGCACCTGGAGGGTGGAGTGTACTTGGAGGGTGGGGTGTACTTGGAGGGTGGAGTGTACCTGGAGGGTGGAGTGTACCTGGAGGGTGGAGTGCACCTGGAGGATGGAGTGTACTTGGACGGTGGGGTGTACTTGGAGGGTGGAGTGTACCTGGAGGGTGGAGTGTACCTGGAGGGTGGAGTGTACCTGGAGGGTGGGGTGTACTTGGAGGGTGGAGTGTACCTGGAGGGTGGAGTGCACCTGGAGGGTGGAGTGTACTTGGAGGGTGGAGTGTACCTGGATGGTGGAGTGTACCTGGAGGGTGAAGTGCACCTGGAGGGTGGAGTGTACTTGGAGGGTGGAGTGTACCTGGAGGGTGGAGTGTACCTGGAGGGTGGAGTGTACTTGGAGGGTGGAGTGTACATGGAGGGTGGAGTGTACCGGGAGGGTGGAGTGCACCTGGAGGGTGGAGTGTACTTGGAGGGTGGAGTGTACCTGGAGGGTGGAGTGTACCTGGAGGGTGGAGTGTACCTGGAGGGTGGAGTGTACCTGGAGGGTGGAGTGCACCTGGAGGATGGAGTGTACTTGGAGGGTGGGGTGTACTTGGAGGGTGGAGTGTACCTGGATGGTGGAGTGTACCTGGAGGGGGAGTGTACCTAGAGGGGAAGTGTACCATGAGGAGTGTACCTGGAGGGGGTGTACCTGGAAAGGGGTGTGTCTCTGGTGGGGGAGTGTACTTGGAGGGGGAGTGTACCTGGCGAGGAGTATACCTCAACGGGGAGTGTACCTGGAGAGGGAGTGTACCTGACGGAAGAGTATACCTGGAAGGGAGTGTACCAGGAGAGGGAGTGTTCCTGGAGGGGAAGTGTACCTAGAGTGGAGTATACTTGGAGGGGGAATGTAACTGGAGAGGAAGTGTAACTGGAGAGGGAGTACATTTGGAGAGGGACCTGGAGCTTTGTCTTGGAGAGGAAGTGTAACTGGAGAGGGAGTACATTTGGAGAGGGACCTGGAGCTTTGTCTTGGAGAGGAAGTGTAACTGGAGAGGGAGTACATTTGGAGGGGGACCTGGAGCTTTGTCTGTCAGAACCACTGGAAAGTTAAACATTGCCACCTTAAAACATCACATTAGTTGCAACTGTGTCTTTTTTACCTGACGTCAGCATTATGAACATTACATAAACAAAAAGAGCCAACCACTGGCATGTCTACACAGTGGCACTCTTCAATGATTCCAGAATCAGAGCCGGCAACAACTGATTACCCAGCTAAGTGTGGCAATGGGTTACTTCCAAGAACCATGTCCATGCAGGAGTCGTCAGGAATCACTTCTACAGAGGTACCAGAAAAGGGATTGGTGTTTCAGCAGGTATAAATGCTATAGAGAATAGGGTAGAAGTGCAGAAAGGGGAGGCCTTAATATTTGGCAAGTAATAAACCAGAGCGAACCAGCAAATATGCTATTTAACTCCAATAATGTTTCTGCATCCAGACAGCCACTGGATGAACAGCCTAATGTTTCACGAGGCGGTTCACCAGAACCTCCACCCGATGGTTGAATCTCATGTGGGTGTTGCAGGGTACCGCATTACTGTATTGGGTGGAAAAATCAAAGAGTGATAGAGAATGATCCTTCCATAATCCTATAGACTAAAATTTTCCAGAATGAGAATAAACGTCTACTTTGTACACCAAGTACTGGGAGAGGGAAGAGGTGTTGTGTCCTTATAATAAACCAAGTAATGTGAAGGGGAGGGGGTGTTGTGTCCTTATAATAAACCAAGTAATGGGAAGGGGAGGGGGTGTTGTGTCCTTATAATAAACCAACTAATGAGAAGGGGAGAGGGATGTTGTGTCCTCATAATAAACCAAGTAATGGGAAGGGGAGAGGGATGTTGTGTCCTTATAATAAACCAAGTAATGGGAAGGGGAGGGGGAATGTTGTGTCCTTATAATAAACCAAGTTATTGCATAGGAGTGCCCTTATGCTGTACTAAGTAATGGGAAGGGGTGCTGAATTGCGTCCTTACGGTAAACCAAGCAATGGGGAATACAGTTCTTATAACGAATCAAGTAACGAGTAAACCAAGTAGTGGGAGGGAGGGGGAAGTACTGTGTTCTCATGCTAAATCAAGTATCTGGGGGGGGAGTACTGTGTTCTTATGCTAAACCAAGTAATGAATCAGGAATGGGGTGATTGGTTCTTATGCTAAACCAAGTACTGGGAGAGGGATTGCAATTATCTTATTTTTAATTAAGTAATGGGAGGGGGGGGGGGGAAATGTTCTTATGTTATTCGAAATAATGTCAGGGAGTGAGTGTTGTGATCTTATTTTAAACAGGTCAAACACCACCTCCAAGTTAAGAATATCCAGCATCCCAATAAGAAATTTTATGTGGAAGAGAGATTCTTAAAAGGAACTTGGATGGGAAGGTAGAATGTGGGTGGGTGAGTTTGTGAAGGCAGAGTCTAATGTTGGGATTTTTTTTCATTGAAAACAGAATGAATTGGTGAGCCAATTGATGAGAGATCTTGTCAGTGGGAGAGACTGAGAATGGGAGAGGCTGGCTGGGAAAATGTGGGCGGTGTGAGAGACTGGGTGAGACAGTATAAGTTAGTAAGTTTATTCAGGTATACACAAACACAGTTACTTAGATTATCATACATTGCAGCATATGTATAGAAAACCTAGAATAACCCCAAAAAAGTCAGACAGAGTGACTTATTTCTATTGGGGTTCTTTGGTGGAAGATGCTGAAGGTGACAGACTAGCTGTCAGCGACTGCAATCGGACAGACTAAGGGAGCGCTGAAGTGAGGGTGGGAGATATTGTGGGTGGGAAACGACTATGGATAAGAGAATGTGGGTGGGAGAAAAGAGTTGTAGTTGGTGAAGCAACAAATATACAAACCACAGGTTAAGATAAGATAAGATAAGATTTCGTTCGGATTTTTAACCCCGGAGGGTTAGCCACCCAGGATAACCCAAGAAAGTCAATGCGTCATCGAGGACTGTCTAACTTATTTCCATTGGGGTCCTTAATCTTGTCCCCCAGGATGCGACCCACACCAGTCGACTAACACCCAGGTACCTATTTGCTGCTAGGTGAACAGAACAACAGGTGTAAGGAAACGTGTCAAATGTTTCCACCCGCCGGGAATCGAACCCGGGCCCTCCGTGTGTGAAGCGGGAGCTTTAGCCACCAGACCACCGTTATATAGATCAAAATGGACTAAATTTGATACTAAATTTGATAGGAAACATTGTGAACCCAATGCAAATAATTTTAAAAATAAAGTATTTTATATCATTATTATTAAAATGATGGAGAGCATAATTGATGATAATTCTGTGATAATTTATGTGTACAACAAACAGGGAAAACTCACCTGTAGCCTCCATACCTCCGTCTCCTGAAGACGACGCAGACACAGATGACAAGAGCAGCTGCTAGCAGAAGTGCACTCACAATCCCTGCCACAACATGGGCATCCAGCAGCCCACCCACTGCTGCCTTCCTCTTCACCAACACTTCTTGTACCGGCTCAGCTGATATCGAACCTTGTAAAGCAACAATGGTCTCTGCTTAATAAATTCTAGACTATGATCCTATTCATGTTAATTGTGTTTCTTGAATTTATGTTAAACAACCGCCTTCACCTGTACATACATCAATAACAACACTGCACTAGCCAAGGACTCGAACCCATGCTGCTTTGGCCTGCCTCATGGTGGGCGAAAACACATGACGCCCTAAATCCACTGGTCAGGATCGTATGGTCTAGTGGATTAGGGCGCCATGTGTTTTCTCCCACCATGAAGCAGGCCACACGGGTTCGAGTCCTTGGCTAGTGCAGTGTTATTACTGATCAATACCACTCGTTCGTGGTCACAATAATATATACATACAAATAAATTTATTCTATACCTACTTGTTATCCTAATATGTTGAAGTTATTATTGCTTGCACAGATGGAGGCATAGCAACAATGGTAGCGTGGAACCGGAAGACAGGGAAAATATGGGGACTGAAAATATGGGGACTGAAAAACTAAAGGAACAGACACTGAATGAATGTTGACCATATCAAAGTGTCTGTGGTTCGATTCCCGGCACAGGTGGAAACGTTTGGTAAGTTTCCTTTCACCTGCTGTCCCTGTTCACCTAGCAATAAGTAGTCGACTGTTGTTGATCGCATCTCGGCGGGGGAAAATATGCCTTAGATAGGGCTGGGCTTTGAAATGAGCTGATGTAGGATAACAGTTCTTAGTCTGTAAAACTAATTTGTGTAAAAAAAAGTATTAAAGTCATTGTTAGCAACATATTATCAGAGTGAGGCAGAAAAAAGGGGGATGAGGACCAGTGTCCCACCACTAGATGGTGAGACACTGAGGGGAGGAGGATTATTAGCAGATGGAAGCGAGGAGGAAGAAGGAGAACGAATGAGGAAGGGAATAGAAGGAGGGAGGTGAGAGTGGGCAAGACAACATGGTGTCTGGCAGTCTCTTTAGTTTGGCAGTCTCTCCGGGTGGGGCAGTGACCCCCAAAAAACAAGCAACCGTGCAGGTGCAGAACAGACTTCCTCACCAGTGTTAGGACATCCTTGATATCTCATGCGTTCGACATAATGATCTAATTTCTTCATAAAACTAAAGAACTTCAAAATAAAAGTCTGTGTGTATTGCACTGACTTTTATTTTGATGCACAATAGGCAATTAAATACAGTATACGAGAAATTCTAACTGACCTCCATTATGATTCCTGGTGGCGACACGGTACACAACTGAGGAGTCTCCCGCAGATGAGGATGCTGTGACACGCAGGAGGTGCCAGGTGCCTAAAGCAAGGTCACATAAACCCAGATCAGTGGTGTCTCTGGTCACATGTGCATAAAGAGGGGTCCAGGACAGCTCACCCTCATCACTGCCAAGCTCTACCTGCAACACATTCATACACACTTGTGTTACAAAATCTTTTGTTTCATACATTAAAAATCTGACAGAAGTCTAATAAAATCTTAATAATACTTTAACTCTTACGTATTTGACCACCAACATGATTCTAATAAGAGCTGAGATTAAATAAGCTAACTACTCACTCAAAATAAGAACACAAAATGATACATAATGAAATTAGGAGTCACTGAATAGAGATACCTATAGAATGGGCTAGAGTTTACATACCTTGCTACAAATCCCATGTCATAACTTGAGAATAAACTCTTACGAAGATTTTTTATTGGTTGTTGATGTGTGATGGTGTTAATTTGCCATTTAAATTTAGAAGATTTGATGATGTATCTAGGCATAAAACATTTGATTATTTTTTTGAAAGAGGCTTTGACAATTCAAAAATAACTGAAAAATGGAATGGATTAGAGAGCTTCTAGAATCCTCAATGGTGCAATTTCGAGTGCTCAAACTATTTACCTCCTAATTCGATGACGATGGAAAAGAAATCCTAGAGAGTTGGTATAAATTTGATCTCTTGATATACAAAATTAATTCAAATTTTCCTTTCCGACAAATGATATAAACATTCTCAAGTTTACCTCTTCTGAGGCTGAATTATCTACACCACAAAACAGTACCAATTAAATTTTGTTTATGTGCAGGAAAATTTCCTCACGTAGAGCAATGGTTTAGTTCCCGGAACTCATGGTTAGTGCTTATTGGCAGACAGAAGTTCCAGTATGCCAGTTTTATTGTATTAATAGTGATATTTTTATTCAATAAGAAGGCTGCTACTCACTACTTTCATTCTGTAGTAATGATACACCAGAAATTTATTACTAGTATGTGAAATTTGAATTTTTACTGAAATTTGTGAATGACTTTCTCAGCTTCAAAAATTTATCATTTACTTTGAGCTGTGTAAATTTCATTTTGCAAATTTAAATTGTCTTCCATGTAATACAATAAGAATGCCTCTTTCGATAGGCTTCAAATCGTAACTGCTGCTGCATCTATTTGGAAGTAATTTTTTATTATGTTAGGGTTATATAGGTGTCAATTTGTCAATTTTGGAGGCAGTTTTATTAAACCTGATTTTCTCAAAATAATCAAATTTAAATCATTTCTTTCTTACAGGATACTAAAGAATTTTAATTAGAATATAAGTGAGGAAAGAAAACCAGAAAAAAAATTATAAATTCGCGTTTTTAGTCGTTAAGTTTAAATTAAGACAAACTTTTCTAATTCCAGCACATAATCAACAGTAGTTATTTATACTTTTTCACAGATTTCTGTTTATTTATCGTGAACTCCTAATTTCACCAGCTTCAAGTTTTAAACCTTGCTGTATCGTATGTTCAAAATGGTATAAAATACAGACAGGTTGGCTCGTAAGAAGCATGTACAACACAGAAGTATCTTCAGTGTTGACACGTTCCGCCTACACGGTAGGCTTCTTGCCTGAAGAATCCTACGATGTAGGCCAGCGTTTCGACAGCAAAGGTATCCAACTTTTGTACACATGTCATACTCATTAACTTGGTGCAATGTAGAGCTGGAAAGAAACATTGTATTATTTGATGTTTCGGTCCCACTTGGACCATTTACAGTCACACTGTGGGGCTTTATAAATGGTCCAAATCGGACCGAAACGTCTTGTAAGTCCTCTCTTCTTTATAGGTTACTTGTAATGTTCCACGTCAGGGTATGTCTTTTTCTTTATTTATTGGATATTTGCATAAGTGGATTCCTTTCTAATCTTACGAAGATCATTACCTAATTTTGCTTCCGTGCAGTAATGTAGACAGGTTGTAAATACTGATTGATGTGTGGTGGGTGGAGTTAACTGAAGCTTGTGCTACAGTGGGTTTGCGTGTTCCTCCTTAAGCATAATGTACTCCCTGACTAGTTGGTCATTGGTTTAAGCGTAGGAGATTGCTCCTCGCATGGCCAGTACCCTTCTGCAGTGTTCCATCTCTTGATCTTTTTCTTCAAAAATCACAACACTCGTGTATCACACTTACAAGATTTGTATATTATAATGGGGAATCGCTAAACCCGTAGGATTATACAGCACCTGTGGGTGGGGGAACGGATGTAGGTATTCAGGCTTTATTTAGGGAACTGGAGCACAGATCCAATTCCCTAGATCAAGAGCCCCCCTCACCAGCGTCAAGGAACCTCCCTTGAGGGGATTTGTATATTGATCGGAGTGTGTAGGTGCCAATTTGCTAGGTAAGATAAGATAAGATAAGATAAGATTTCGTTCGGATTTTTAACTCCGGAGGGTTAGCCACCCAGGATAACCCAAGAAAGTCAGTGCGTCATCGAGGACTGTCTAACTTATTTCCATTGGGTCCTTAATCTTGTCCCCCAGGATGCGACCCACACCAGTCGACTAACACCCAGGTACCTATTTGCTGCTAGGTGAACAGGACAACAGGTGTAAGGAAACGTGTCGAAATGTTTCCACCCGCCGGGAATCGAACCCGGGCCCTCCGTGTGTGAAGCGGGAGCTTTAGCCACCAGGCCACCAGGCTACTTTTAATCTCGAAGTGGTAAAGCATTATTCTGACTTCGTGGTAGTGAAGGACTCGTGGATCGAATCGGAATGAAACTCATTCCAGAGGCACGATATGACAATTGTTAATGACAAATCTCAAATGGCTGACGCATCTTAGGAAATGGATGGAACGTTTCGTGGGTTTATTGTACGTAGTTACAAATTTTATTGAATTCAGAACAATAACTAGAAATTTTCCCATTTGGTCAGTTTTAAATTTATTTACTTACCTAATTACTTTTATTCTTACATTTTATACATACCGTATATACCTTCCTAAAAAAAAGATGGGGTTAATTTGGTCTTCTGAGGGTAATAATTTGCTTAATTTGAAGACAATAAACAAAGGTCCACCTAGGTGTCTCAAAATAGTGAGGGGCCACCTAGTTATGGCTCAACATGAGGGGTCCACATAGGTATGTCTCAACATAGTGAGGGGGCCCCCCACTTAGTTATGTCTTAACATGGTGAGGGGCTAACCTAGGAATATCTCAGCATAATGAGAAGCCCTCCTAGATATGTCCCAACATAATTAAAGCCCCACGTAGGTATGTCTCAACATGGTAACGGGTCCTCCTAGGTTTGTTTTAACATGGTGAGGGGCCCACCTAGGTATGTCTCAACATAATGTGGGGCCATTTTGGTATGTTTAACCATGGTGAATTCCCACCTAATTATGTCAAAACATAATAAGGAGCCACCTAGTTATGTCTCAACATAATTAGGGGCCCCACCTGTCAGTAGTGTTACTGTGTACTTGTGTAGTATACTTAGATATCCCAATGTTTCTACCCTCGCCGGGAATCGAACCCAAACGTCTCCGTGTGAAGCTAGAGCTTTAGCCACCAGGCCACGGGGGCACCGTGACCTGGTGGCTAACATTCTGTCAACCAACAATTTGGATATAGGGTAACTTCCAGATTTTTGGTGGATACGGTTAAGGAGAGCAATTAGGGCAGCCTCTATACACTTCCGCCGTCATAAATCTTCCATCACGACTAGGCTAGCTTCACCGAACCTGGTGAAGTGTCCAACGTTGTGTCTGTGTCGGACACCCGCGTTATTACGGTCATCACGGACGCAGACGCTTTTGTACTCCCTGATCCTAATATCCAGAAATCTCACTGTTTCCCTACATCATCTTTTATTAATTGAAATAAACCAGAGTATTAGAAAAAGAAAAAGATTACCTATTGGATCACGCAGATACACATCTAATTGTCTAGACGAATACCTACAAAACACTTAACAGTTTTTTTAATTTTTTCTGAGTAATGTTTAACGAATTCGTACATTAAAAATTACTACAAAACATTATAAAAAACCCCAATAAAACAACCTGTTTCGAGTTGGGTGGGGTTTGAACCAATGGTTAACCAAAATTTCTCCGATGTCATGAAGTCGGGAGACGAATAATATTTAACAAATTAATTCAAAGATTTCACCAAGTGTTGAAAGTAGTACAGTGTGACTTGTCGAATTTTTCCCATATACCTTTTTTGTGAAGCAACCTTAACACTTTTCCAATGTGTGCGGGATCACCACCAACCCCAGTGTGGAAAAAGACATCACAGATCGGGCCAACTTACTTAGTGTGTCCCATCAAAGTGGTCCTTCCATTACCTTCCAGTTTCGTGACGGGGCATCCTAGCTCAGGCCACACTTACCTTCCAGTGTGTGACGGGGCATCCTAGCTCAGGCCACACTTACCTTCCAGTGTGTGACGGGGCATCCTAGCTCAGGCCACACTTACCTTCCAGTGTGTGACGGGGCATCCTAGCTCAGGCCACACTTACCTTCCAGTGTGTGACGGGGCTTCCTAGCTCAGGCCACACTTACCTTCCAGTGTGTGACGGGGCATCCCAGCTCAGGCCACACTTACCATCCAGTGTATGACGGGGCATCCTAACTCAGGCCACACTTACCTTCCAGTGTGTGACGGGGCATCCTAACTCAGGCCACACTTACCTTCCAGTGTGTGACGGGATTCCAGCTCAGGCCACACTTACCTTTCCGTTTTGGGACGGGGCATCCTAGCTCAAGCCACACTTACCTTCCAGTGTATGACGGGGCATCCTAGCTCAGGCCACACTTACCTTCCAGTGAGTGACGGGGTATCACAGCTCGGGCCACACTTACCTTCCAGTGTGTGACGGGGCATCCCAGCTCAGGCCAGACATACACTCTCAGCGTGACACACGTCTCATTCACCTGCACTAGTCTGGCTGCATCTGGCCGCCCTGGAGCTGCGCTCAGAAGAAATAATTACGATTATTTCTGCCAACTTTATTTCGTGTTAAACACAGATAATACTGTTTCTGGAAATAAATAAAATAGTTCCCGCTTCACAAGGTATAAACACCATAGATGAAATAACTTAAATGATTACTTAGTAGTAAATTACAAAGTTTTAGTTTTTAAGATGAATTAAAAGTTAAGTAATATTTTACAACTCATTGAGAAGGTTTTCAAGACAGCTTGATTTATTCCTAAGGAAAATAAGCTGGGGTACTATCCAAATAATTTGGGCTAAATCCACCAGATGGCAGAATCCAAAATATCCGCAGTAGGTAATATAAGTCAACATCTCGACTTTGGCTTTTCTTTTTTTATAGCGAAGATTTTTTTTTCCTTCCAGGTGTAGGTATGAATTGGTTTAAATTTAAATAAATGACAACAGATGCATATTGTATTAAATTTTTCAAAAGTGTAAAAAGGACATATTAACTTAGTAATCAAGAATCCAGATGAAGGAATAAGCGTAGGAACATCACTAAATCAGTTAAGTGTACAAGGGAGAGACTAACTAATAAACATTTCAAATATGACTATAGAGACAAGTGCAGATATAAATATTTACACACCGAAACATTGACACAGTTGACGCAATGAAAAAAAAAAACAGAAAACGGATAAAGAATTAATTATACAAGGCGTCCACACACTCCTGATTTAAAACACACATATAACATGTAACTTTATTTTAATAATCTTTCACAGTTTGTAGCTTCAGTTGCAGGATTTCATTGTTTCATGTGGTATAAGGTGGTATTAAAGGTAGTCAATGTGCGCCCCTCTGGTTGCTCGGCAAACATCGATGTGATAGTCCATTCGTCCAGAGGTGCCAATCGGTTTGCAGCGAATGCATCATGATCGAAATTTTTAAACTCCTCCGGGGTTGATAAATTAACACATGTGCAACCTTTTGGGGTACTTTTTTGGGGAAACTTTCGCCACACGTGGTTCAAGCCCATACAAAGGACTGTGAACCCACTGTAGGGGCGAAACGTTTCCTCAAAAAGAACCCAAAAGTTGCCATGTGTTAATTTATCAACATGTGGGTTTCCCTTAAACCATTCTCACAAATCCTCCGGGGTTGCTGGGGTGGGTACCTAAAGTGTGTTTTTTCACGTACCCCCGAGGAAAGTCAAAAACTGGTCCGGTGACCTCGCGGGGCCACTTGCCGAGTCCCCGGACCTTTTGGGTTTGGGAGGGGTAAAAAAGGGTTTTTGGGGAAAGGGGGGTTTGGGGACTTCTAGCAAGCGGCGTGAGGGGTTTTAGATAGGAAAAATGGAGACAAACTTTTTGGGACTTGACGTGCTGTTGGATGAAAGCAAGGTAACTTTTATGAAGGGATTCGGAAACCCAAAGGGCCCAGACTTGATTCGGGAATGGAAGTACAGTCCCTGCACTCAGGAGGGGTGTTAAATGTTGCAGTTTATAACTGTATTAAGCTTTCCTCTGGCAAGCTGTAAGTAAAGATGAAATTTTTTTTTTTCGGGAAAACCCTCCCTTTGGCGGGAAACGTTATGTATTTTTAAATATAATAATAAAATTTAAAATTTTAATTATATATATAATTAAATATATATATATATATATATATTTTTAATATATATTTTTATTTAAAGACAAAAAAAATTTGGGCCAAATTTTTCAAAAAAATTTTCAATAAAAAAAAACAACATAGGAACCCCGAGTACATCTCGAATACTTTGTCCACTCCCCGGGGGTGGGCCGGTTGCCAGAATGTGCAGGGATTTCCTCTCTGGATCCAAACTGATCTTCCGAAAGAGAAAGCTGGTCGCCCCGGGTCCTTGGTTTCTATGATGAGCTTTCACTCAGCTCTTTTTAGGAACTTTTAAGCACACTTGCCCCCTGCTCCAAAAGGGCTCCGACCCTATTGGAATAAATTATAACAAGGGGGGGTCTTCAATTTTTTGGATCTTCTGAGTCTCCCCCGTGGGTGGCAGCTCCACCCCCTTCACTCGAGTAGGCAAGTAAAAGTCTGCCAATTTGGGGGCACAGGTGAATCCAGGGAATCTGCTTTTCCCTTTTCCAGGGTAGCATAGTGGGTCCATGCTTTTTTACTTCCCCTCAGAAACTCTGTACTTTTAGGGGTTCCCGTTGAGCGGGCAACGGGCTGTGGCGAGGGTCTCTTTATGACGTCAATGCCCCCATGCTGGCATACTTCCTTTCTGCTGTGTGACACGAACCATGAGTCCCAATTGATCACTGCCGGGGCCCGCCCCAAATACACCATGTTTCGGTAGGATGGGGGCGGAGGCGAAGAGCAACACACATAATATAATATATATATATACATATAAAATATATAATATATAATATATATATATATATATATATATATTATATAAAATTATATATTTTAATATATAAAATATGTGTTTGTTGTGTGTGTGTTGTGTGTGTGTGTGTGTGTGTGTGTGTGTGTGTGTGTGGTGTGTGTGTGTGTGTGTGTGTGTGTTTGTTGTGTGAGATCAACTATTCTCTTTCTATGAGCTTTTCTTAGTGCTTTTCCTAATACTCTTGTCAGCAGAACTAGTCTGCAATTTAGTGCTTCCTGTCTATGTCGCCTCATCTTTTCCTCTTTCCGTCGACATGTTATGTATTTTGGCAAGTTGGCTGCACAGTCCTGCTGATGCTTCTCACAATACCCAGGTGGCAGCATTGCAAGTCTTACCACCTTTCTGTAAGACCATTTTCATTTTTTTCTCATTTTTTTTCTTTGGGTGTTTTCCTTCTTGTCTCGTTTTATCTAGCCACGTACACTCATTTTTGCTTCATAAGTACAGTAGGTATACATCAAATCTGAGTGTAGCATACGTGTACCCACCTATTTGTACTCACCTATTTGTGGTTGCAGGGGTCGAGTCATAGCTCCTGGCCCCGCCTCTTCACTGATTGCTACTACGTCCTCTCTCTCCCTGCTCCATGAGCTTTATCATACCTCGCCTTAAAACTATGTATATCATACCTCGCCTTAAAACTATGTATGGTTCCCGCCTCCACTACTTCACTTTCTAGGCTATTCCACGGCTTGACTACTCTATGACTGAAGAAATACTTCCTAACATCCCTTCGATTCATCTGAGTCTTCAACTTCCAATTGTGACCTTCTTGTGTCTGTGTCCCATCTCGGGAACATCCCGTCTTTGTCCACCTCGTCTATTCCGCGCAGTATTTTATATGTTCGTCATCATGTCTCCCCTGACCCTCCTTGCCTCCAGTGTCGTCAGCTGATTTCCCTCAACCTTTCTTCTTTAGGACAATCCCCGTAGCTCTGGGGCTAGTCTTGTTGCAAAAACCTTTTCACTTTCTCTAATTTCTTGACGTGCTTGACCCAGGTGTGGATTCCAAACTGGTGCTGCATACTCCAGTATGGGCCTGACGTAGATGGTATACAGAGTCTTAAACGAATCCTTACTGAGGTATCGGAACGCTATCCGTAGGTTTGCCAGGTGCCCGTATGCTGCAGCAGTTATCTGATTGATGTGCGCCTCGGGAGATATGCTCGGTGTTATACTCACCCCCAGATCTTTTTCCTTGAGTGAGGTTTGCAGACTTTGGCCGTCTAAACTATATTGTGTCTGCGGTCTTCTTTGCCCTTCCCCAATCTTCATGACTTTGCATTTGGCAGGGTTAAACTCAAGGAGCCAGTTGCTGGACCAGGCTTGTAGCCTGTTACTGTGTATCTTTGAGTGCATTTGTGTAAGTTTGTTTGTGTGTGTGTGTGTGCGCGCTGGACCAGGTATGTAGCGTATCCAGATCCCTTTGTAGGCCTACCTGATCCTTGTCTGCTTCAATTCTTCGCATTAGCTTCACATAGTCTGCATAAATTATCCCTCCAATCATATTATTCACAAATACCAGAAACAGCACGGTCCCAGGACTGACGTGTATGGAAGCCCGCTCGTCACATGCGCCCACTCTGACAACTCGTCACGTACGGTCATTCGTTGTGTCCTTCGTGTCAGGTATTACCTTATCCATTTCAGTGCCTTTCCTGTTGTTCCTGCCTGCTCCTCTAGCTTTTCCACTAATCTTTTGCGCGGAACTATGTGGAATGCCTTCTGGCAGACCAAGAAAATGTAGTCTACCCTCCCCTCCGTCTCTGAAAGGTTATACTGTATAAACTCATTCTTTTCAAGGTACTCTACTCCTCATAATCTCCACGATTTTATGTCGATTAATTATGCAGATCAATGCTGCCTGTCTCCTTTCTAAAATCTGGGACTACATTTGCTGTCTTCCACACCTCAGGTAGTCGCCTTTCTGAGGACCCACGAAGAGATGTTTGGTCCCACCACCTTTGAGATATCTAGTTAGCTTAGCAGTCTCTTTACATCCTTCTCCGTTGTGCGTAGTGTGTCCAGCACTTGTTGGTGTACCTTACCAGCCCGGTTTGCTCGAAGCCTTTCCTTCTTCACTGAAAATACCTTCCTAAATCTTGTGTTGAGCTCTTCTCTTCGCATACTACTTGGTCTTTTTTTTTTGTGTGTGTGTACCCACCTATTTGTACTCACCTATTTGTGGTTGCAGGGGTCGAGTCTTAGCTCCTGGCACCGCCTCTTCACTGGTTGCTACTGGGTCCTCTCTCTCTCTCCCCGCTCCATGAGCTTTATCAAACCTCGTCTTAAAACTATGTATGGTTCCTGCATCCACTACGTCACTTTCTAGGCTATTCCACTGCCTGACAACTCTATGACTGAAGAAATACTTCCTGACATCCCTTTGACTCATCTGACTCTTCAACTTCCAATTGCGACCTCATGTTTCTGTGTCCCCTCCCTGGAACATTCTGTCTTTGTTCACCTTGTCTATTCCGCGCAGTATTTTATATGTCGTTATCATGTCTCCCCTGACCCTCCTGTCCTCCAGTGTCGTCAAGCCGATTTCCCTTAACCTTTCTTCATAGGACATTCCCCTTAGTGTGTGTGTGTGTGTGTGTGTTAGTGTATGTGTGAATTTAGTTTAAATATTTTCATAATGAAGCAATAACGGTGCCCCCTGGCCTGGTAGCAAAAGCTCTCGCTCCACACGTTGATCGTCCAGATTCGATTCCCGGCGAGGGTAGAAACATTGGGCAGGTACTTGGATGTTAGTCGACTGGTGTGGGTCGCATCCTGAGACAAAACTGACCGAATTTGCCCGAAATGCTCTGCATAACAAGCGGCTTTTTATATAGCAGTATGACATTGATGTCAGCCAGACATGTATACCTATACATGAACTTGTAGAAGTAAATATATTAATAATATTCACGAGTATACATCATGATCCTGGTATATACTGTCAGCGTACTTCAAGGATCAATTCTGTACACAATGGTCTTGGGATGTACTATGTATCTGATAATATATATACATGTGCAACTTGGGAATTTTTATTAAGTAAACGTTTCGCTACACAGTGGGTTTATCAGTCCATACAAAGAAAAATAGTGAATATCTTTTCGAGATTGATGGACTGATTACATCGAGTCTAGGCTGAGGGACTGATTATTTCAAACGCCTTCTGATCTTCACCATTCTTCTTTCTATAGGACTGATGAAGCCACTGTGGCGAAACGTTTCTTCTGTAAAGATACCAGTGTTGCACATGAGTCTAATTAATCAACCTGAAGGTTCTCTGAACTATTTATCTACATTACTATGTATCTGAGTCAAGGATTTGACCAGTACGTCCGTTACGAACGTTAACGGTGTGGCTTCAAGCAGATTTTCTTGATTTACTTATTAGAGTTTCCAATGAATAGATACTGATCAAATATCACGACCTTCTAGTTCTCTTTTACGTATATTTGTGTAGTAAAACTGCGTTAAACTAAGCGTTATGCTTTCAGAGCTTACAAGTGAGCATCATTGATGTGAAGTTTTAAATAAATGGGTCTAGAGCAGTGAATGCACAATGACAGCATAAAACTACTCACCACTACCGAGGGTATTGATGACGAGGACGGGACTTGGGGTGCTGGTACCGTGCATATTCCAGGCTGTGAGGTACACGTGGTGTGGGGCACCACACGGCAGTCCTCGCACCATTACACTCCTTACGCCAGGGTCAGCAACAGTCTCCAGCCATTCTCCAGCACGCTGGCGGTGGTGCACAGTGTATCCTATAAAAGACATGCATTGAGTCTGGAGTATACTGACTTTTTTAACCTGGTTTTCAGTGTAGGTTAACCGCTACACGCCCTTGATTTTTTAGATATTCACAATACATAAACTAATGTTTGGATTATTCTTTTCACGTATCTATCATTAGCTCCAACATATCTTGTGCCTCATTTATTACATACTCTGTTATATATGAATGCGAGGCACATGCCTGAAAAAGAATTATGGCAACAGTTCCTACGCAGTTTAACAAATTCCTAACTGCTGAGGAAGGCTTCAATCAGGAACCGAAAGACATCAAGGTCAATTTCCTTCCCGAAGTTTATTTGCATTCCGTGTTGCTCGTTGCGACACATTGCGTAAGTACATCTCTCTGTCTCGAGATTATATAAATTATATATATATATATATATATATATATGTCGTGCCGAATAGGCAGAAGTTGCCATCTTGGCTTAAATTGCAACGCTCATCTTGCCATATAGGACAATTGAAAATTTGTGTATGCAATAATTTCGCCAAAATCATTTTGAACCTAACAAAAAATATATATTTGATTGTGTTTGTTTAGTACTAAATTATTGTAAACGTATTTAAAATATATTTAGTTGGGTTAGGCTAAAATAAATTGCTCTTGTTATAATAAGGTTAGGAAAGTTTTCTAAGATTCTTTTGTTGCAAAATTAAAAATTTTTACATTAACATTAATGAAAAAATATATCTTTAAACGTATAAGAGAAAATTTCAGAAAGGACTTAATTTTAAATGAGTTCTTGCTAACTGACCAGTTTTACATATTCGGCACGACATATATATATATATATATATATATATATATATATATATATATATATATATATATATATTATATATATATATATATAATAATAATAATAATAATAATAATAAAAGTGCACGGTAGGGTTATTATTGAAAGAATCAGAGGTAAGACAGAATGTAGGATTGCGGATGAGCAAGGAGGTTTCAGAGTGGGTAGGGGATGTGTAGATCAAGTGTTTACATTGAAGCATATATGTGAACAGTATTTAGATAAAGGTAGGGAAATTTTTATTGAATTTATGGATTTAGAAAAGGCATATGATAGAGTGGATAAGGGAGCAATATGGCAGATGTTGCAAGTATATGGAATAGGTGGTAAGTTACTAAATGCTGTAAAGAGTTTTTATGAGGATAGTGAGGCTCAGGTTAGTGTGTGTAGAAGAGAGGGAGACTACTTCCCGGTAAAAGTAGGTCTTAGACAGGGATGTGTAATGTCACCATGGTTCTTTAATATATTTATAGATGGGGTTGTAAAAGAAGTAAATGCTAGGGTGTTCGGGAGAGGGGTGGGATTAAATTATGGGGAATCAAATACAAAATGGGAATTGACACAGTTACTTTTTGCTGATGAGACTGTGCTTATGGGAGATTCTAAAGAAAAATTGCAAAGATTAGTGGACGAGTTTGGGAATGTGTGTAAAGGTAGAAAGTTGAAAGTGAACATAGAAAAGAGAAAGGTGATGAGGGTATCAAATGATTTAGATAAAGAAAAATTGGATATCAAATTGGGGAGGAGTAGGAAAGAAGTGAATGTTTTCAGATATATGGGAGTTGACGTGTCGGCGCATGGATTTATGAAGGATGAGGTTAATCATAGAACCGATGAGGGAAAAAAGGTGAGTGGTGCGTTGAGGTATATGTGGAGACAAAAAACGTTATCTATGGAGGCAAAGAAGAGAATGTATGAAAGTATAGTAGTACCAACATTGTTATATGGGTGTGAAGCTTGCGTGGTAAATGCAGCAGCGAGGAGGCGGTTGGAGGCAGTGGAGATGTCCTGTCTAAGGGCAATGTGTGGTGTAAATATTATGCAGAGAATTCGAAGTGTGGAAATTAGGAGAAGGTGTGGAGTTAATAAAAGTATTAGAGAGCTGAAGAGGGAATGTTGAGGTGGTTTGGTCATTTAGAGAGAATGGATCAAAGTAGAATGACATGGAGAGCGTATAAATCTGTAGGGAAAGGAAGGCGGGGTAGTGGTCGTCCTCGAAAAGGTTAGAAGGAGGGGTAAAGGAGGTTATGTGGGCCAGGGGCTTGGACTTCCAGCAAGCGTGCGTGAGCATGTTAAATAGGAGTGAATGGAGACGAATGGTATTTGGGACCTGACGAGCTGTTGGAGTGTGAGCAGGGCAATATTTAGCGAAGCTGTTAGTACATTATAAGCATCAGTAAGCTATTTTCAAAGAAATACTGAAAGACATTAATAAAATAACTGATCTATTAATCATCCTAGCGAGGTAGTTATAACTCAGTTAACAAAATATTCAAGAAGTCTGGTATACTGACCGAGGATAGGAGCTCCCCCGTCATCAGCTGGTATAATGGTGAGGTTCAGGGCGTGGTTAGTGGCGTGGGCGAGGCTGAGGGTGGGCGGTAGTGGTGTTGTGACGGCCACTACCTGGTGTGTCAGACTGTCCATACCAACACTGTTACTCACCCAGCATGTGTAGTTAGCAGTCTCTCGTACAGCTAACAATCAAAGACAACTGACATTAATTTCATGTATGTATAGGACAAATAAACAGCCTAGAAGCAGCTACAGGAAAAATCAAATGCTTAAACTTAAAATAAACGTCTGCTTCAGATGAATAATTAGGCGATTTAAGCAAACAAAACATTGACACAATAGAAGGCATTTGCAACAATAAAAAAAACTATACATGCTAAATGTCTCCATAAAACCTTCATGGATTTAAAAATTAAGTTACTGAAGCTGACAGATGCAAGGAGGTTGTCATATTAAAAGAATAATTAACTGAGTTCAACGAAAGATATATTTTACTAAAGAAATCTCAAAGACAAACTCTAAATTTTATTTTAACTAGAAAATTAGTCAAAAATAAAGAAAAGTTATGATATATTTATCTTTCAGTTCTGAGGAGTCTCCTTACTGGTGTGTTATGACAGAACTAAACAAGAACCAAACGTTGCAAAGGTCAGCAATCATTAAGCTGTTAAATCGTTATATAAATGCATACGTAAACCACTATATAATATATATATATATATATATATATATATATATATATATATATATATATATATATATATATATATATATATATATATATTATTTTTTTATTATCACACTGGCCGATTCCCACCAAGGCAGGGTGGCCCGAAAAAGAAAAACTTTCACCATCATTCACTCCATCACTGTCTTGCCAGAAGGGTGCTTTACACTACAGTTTTTAAACTGCAACATTAACACCCCTCATATATATATATATATATATATATATATATATATATATATATATATTATATATATATATATATATATATATATATATATGTCGTGCCGAATAGGCAGAACTTGCGATCTTGGCTTAAATAGCAACGTTCATCTTGCCATATAGGACAAGTGAAAATTTGTGAATGCAATAATTTCGCCAAAGTCATTCTCAACCTAACAAAAAAAATATATTTCTCTATGTTTGTTTAGTATTAAATTATTGTAAGCAAATCTAAAATATATTTAGTTGGGTTAGGCTAAAATAAATTGTTCTTGTTATAATAAGGTTAGGTAAGTTTTCTAAGTTCCTTTTGGTGCAAAATTATAAATTTTTGCATCAACATTAATGAAAAAAATATGTCTTTAAACGTATAAGATAAAATTTTAGAAAGGACTTAATTTTAAATGAGTTCTTACTAATTGACCAGTTTTACATATTCGCACGACATATGTAATATATATATATATATATATATATATATTTTATATATATATAATATATATATTATATATATATATATATATATAATTATTACAACCCAGGGACAATAAGGCCTGTTGAAGAATTCTTTGTATAAAGATCCCATGATGTTGCAGTGTCTGACAGATGTGATAAATTGTTTAAAAACCGACAAGTTGAAGATTGAGACAAGTATCACATCTGTTAGACACTACAACATCGTTGGATCTTGATACAAAGAATTCTTCAACCTTGTCCAACCTTTGGACGAGGACCTACTTCGACTAGTGGATGGTACCACTATGACCCCGCCTCCCCCTGCTTCACCTCACATGACTACAGTATACAAGCTACGTCTACGGCCCTATGCTGTACTTTCTACAAGACTGATGGCCTGAACACATCGACTCCAGGCTGAGGGACTGATCACCTCAAACCCTTCCTCTCCTTACACTCTTCTGATTTGTATTGGACTGATGACGCCACTGTGTGGCAGTTAGTTAGTTTAATATGTTTATTATGCACCCCATACCCATCCTGTGGGCGGTAGTCAAAAGATTACAGAGGTACATAATTGGTCCAGGGACTGGACTCCAAAGTTTTGATAGCTGAGCAAGTTACAGAGGTAGTGAACTCACAATTTACAAAGGTAATGAACTCACAATTTACAAAGGTAATGAACTCAAAATTTACAAAGGTAATGAACTCACAATTTACAAAGGTAATGAACTCCAGGTAAGTCTGGTCACAATCATGACAAGTTACAAAGGTATTTACAGATTACAGAGGTACGTAATGGGTCCAGGGACTGGGCCCCCAAATTTTTTGATAGTTTGAACTAGGTACAAAGTAATGAGCTCAACAAGTTACAAAGGTAATGAATTCTGTAGAATGGTTACTTACGTTTATACTTTGGCTACAATCATGAACAAATATAGAGTAATGAGCAATTCACACTTCCACACCCGGTCACAACTGTAATGAGTTATTGGTGCAAATATTGATTGTTGAGTCACACACCACACACACACACACACACACACACACACACACACACACACACACACACACACTCACACAACACACACACACACACACACACACACACACACACACTTTAGTTTAATATCTTTATGCACCCCATACCCATCCTGTGGGCGGTAGTCAAAAGATTACAAAGGTACATAATGGGTCCAGTGACTGGACCCCAAAGTTATGATAGCTGAACTAGTTACAAAGGTAATGAACTCCAGGTAGATCTGTGTGGCAGCGAAACGTTTCCTCAACAAAGATTCCCATATGTTGCATAAGTGTCTCAGTTTTCGTTAAGTTTAATACAAATTCAAAACAACGACTAATCTAGCGCTAAAAACAATCAAATTTAATTAATATAGTAAACTAATTTAACAAAATTAAAGATTAAATTTTGATCTCATCTGTAAGTAAATTATCTTCACACTTTGAATGAGATGGATGTCCATGATGCTGGAGCAACAGTTTCTCAACATCGAGCTTGAAGGCTCTAAGAAGTCTTAGATCCCTTTGTTGACTAATTTTCAGTCGGTTTCTTTGCTTGGAAAGAAGTCTGGCGACTGAAGTGAACCCTTGCTCTACTAAATTTAATGTTGAGAAGGCAAAATTGTATATTTTGACTTTGTTCCATTGTGCAGGATAGCGGCCAGATTTTTTTTTTTTTTTTTTTGGAACCAAAATTCTTGATACGAATTTTTAAGCTTTGGCTTCAATTCAGTGTCATATTGGGGTGAAATCAGTTCTTCGTCCACCAGTCCTGTTTCCTCATTGCTGATATCTAGGAATGGATTGATCACCCAGTCTGGTATTTTAAGCATAAAAAATAATCTTGAAGTCATTCAGGTGTGCACAATACACCTTAATGTCATCGTCATCTAACCTTCTAGTACTTTGTCTCCTCAAGGGAGGTTCCTTGATGCTGGTGAGAGGCTCTTGATTTAGGGAACTGGATCTGTGCTCCAGTTCCCTGAATTAAGCCTGAATACCTTCCATTCCCCCCCAACCACAGGCGCTCCCCCATGATTATAATATTAATTTAGAACGTTGTGTATTTATGAGATGATTCTCTAAGCCTTCATTCGAAAGATTGCATTCCAAGTGCTTTTCCAATTCCAAGAAATTTCAACGGCTTTATAAATTATGGCTTCCATTAAAAAAACATCCGCAATTTACTTTATAAATGATGTCAGCTGAGACAAGGATCAGAACGAGAAAGTGTAAATCCGTGAAAATGACGGCATTCGAGTGCAGTTGCTTGTTTTGTAATAGTTTCTGAGGATACGTTGGTAAATTTGTTGCAGTCTTTGTATGTTACAACGCCTGATATTCTACCTAATTGCCTTACCTGTTCCTGTCGTTAACATAATAATTCGGTTCTTCATATGTCATGTAAATGATCTCTTCGTTGCATGGAAACAGCTGGCATTTGATATTCATTACATTTTTCTAAAATCGTTTTCCCTTATACAGTTTTTAAGCTTATTTTGATAACCTTCAAAATGGTGGCAAGAAACTGTCACATGCATGTTTTTTAAGGTGTCAGCTCGGAGCCTTGCAAAATATAGTTTGCTCAGACTAGTAAAAGAAATTATTGGGAATAACGCATAATTCGTGAAGACTCATACGCAGCCTAACGTTTGGTTATGCCTATTACAGGAAACATTTCACTCTTTAAAAACCTTATTCATTTGTTACGATCGTTTACAGATAGGGATCCGATGTCATTGCGATATGTCACAGATGAGAATCCGAGATCATTTTCATACCTCACAGATGAGGGATCGAAAATTAATTCGATCTCCCTCGGAGGCAAATGCTATTCCAGTATCTTAAATCAAAGCCAGCTCCACATGACCGGAAACAGCGGGTGAACATGGCTGCTCTCCCTGCCAACTAAGCCACTACATAATGCAGTGTCTGTTCCTGGAGGACTTGAGACCTGATGAACTTACCTACTTGGAACTCTGCAGGGTCCTAATACACACTGCAGCACTAGAGGATGTTCACGTCGTCCATGGAGAGACAGCGAGTGTCACACACTAACAGCGTTGATCCACAATGAGAGCAAAGCAAACTTGAAAAGGTGTAACAGGTTCTCGGGTTGTGTGTGTGTGTGTGTGTGTGTGTGTGTGTGTGTGTATGTGTGTGTGTGTGTGTGTGTGTGTGTGTGTGTGTGCTGGCTGTGCTGCACCACTAATTGTCCAGTATTCCCCCATCTCAAACAAGTGTTCTCGTCTCTCCAAGTAAAGAACAAACGAACGTTAATACTTCTCCTTAAATTTTAAGTAAATCTGTATTTATTTTTGTTCTTTTAACATAATTAACACATTCTGAATCAGTAATATGCTTCAGTGTTCACGGATGTGTGACAATTGCATTATTTGCGAGTGTTATAAGTATTAACTCATTCTTTTTAACTGCTACATTATCCATGTTGTGAAATTTGAAGTGTTCTTTTGTTAAAAATTAAATATCATCCATAAGAAATGTTAACCCTTCGCTCTAGTAATCAAATTAACATTTAACAGTATATGCATGAACGTAGGTATACGCTATATGTTCAATAATTTTATATTGTCTTCCGTTATCTGGAAAAATACTCTTTCCTAACGCGTCTCACCATCTTCATTATTAATGCTTTAACATTCGACATTACTCGACTGGCAAGATTTGTTAGGTGTTATGAGTCCCTAATAAACACTGGTCATTAGGTCTTGCTTTCATCTTGCTAGAATAAAGAAG